AGCAGTAGCAGTAGCAGTAGCAGTAGTAGTAGTAGTAGTAGTAGTAGTAAAAAAGAAAGTACTAGTAGCAGTAGTATTAGTAGTAGTAGTAGTAGTAGTAGTAGTAGTAGTAGTAGTAGTAGTAGTTTTAGCAGTAGTAGCAGCAGCAGCAGCAGGAGCAGTAGTAGCAGTTGTTGCAGTAGCAGCAGCAGCAGCAGCAGCAGCAGCAGGAGGAGGAGGAGGAGGAGGAGTAGTAGTAGTAGTAGTAGTAGTAAAAAAGAAAGTACTAGTAGTAGTAGTAGTAGTAGTAGTAGTAGTAGCAGTAGCAGTAGCAGTAGCAGTAGCAGTAGTAGTAGTAGTAGTAGTAGTAGTAGTAAAAAAGAAAGTACTAGTAGCAGTAGTATTAGTAGTAGTAGTTGTTGTTGTTGTTGTTGTTGCTGTTGCTGTTGTGATCCGTTGTGTGCTCCTTCCCCCGAGCTTCAAAGTCCTCGGCCAGACTCCGAGTTCTGCACCGGGGCTTGCGACTGGAAAGGAAGAGGAGATCCGGTGCCTGTTTGGGCCCGCTTTCGGTGTCAGATTGCTTTCTGTCTTGTAGAGTACATGGATGTAAAGGGTTCGTCAAAAAGCAAAGCGCGTAAAACAGAATTAAGGTAGGGTTTAGAAAGGGTTGAACCAGATCAAGGGCTTGCGAACCACAAACACGCCGAGGCTTAGTGTGACGAGCCGCTGCGCGCGCGGATGCGGGCGACAATGGTGCTGACGGAGCTCTGCTGGGCGAGTTCACAAGCCTGCTGTCCTGCCAGACTCCGAACAGAGGGCAGACTATTGCTGATGCGACACAACGATGGCTACTGCCGTGACTGCAGCGTGCACACATATGCACATCCCAACAGTGCTGTCGGCATTCTCAGCATTACAGGCTTGTTCTTGTGAACGGTCACGAGTCACGAGATCAAGGGAAGGCCGGCTCGGGGAGGGAAAGGGAACCCGGAGCGGTGGGGGCCTGGCTGCTGCATGCCGACAGTTGCAAGGAGAAGCGGACCAAAATACTAAGGGCAACTCTACGGCCGTGGGCCCAAATGGCCACACAAGGACTCATGCAAGGGATAAAACCATGCAACATCCGAAGAAGCATTACCATCCATCACAAGTAGTACTGCCTACTGGTAACATGCGCAAGCTCAAGCACCGCAGGGTTTAGGTGGAATGAACAGCAGCTGCAAGCCTTTGAGCTTTGGACACAAGATACTGCGCCTTTTTGTATATCTGCTCAGCTTTGCCAGAAGGCTAAAGTGACGGATTCTAGCTTCTGTGATCCGATGCCCAAAGTGGCTGGTGAGCTTCCTCGGCCTCGAGTCGGATCTCGGCTTCAAGACTCCCAGCCACCCTACCAAGTTATAGCGTAGCGCAGCTCTGCAGCAGCCTGTACAAAACTGCGCTGCAGCTCGAGACTAGCTTGCCCTTGGCCCCTGTACTTTGGCAACAGCAAACCGAGGCTGTACAAATCTACACAAGTCTGAGTCCCGCTGCACTCACTTGCATCTTAAGTGGCGCTCCGTGGACTTCAAACGCCGAGCCCCGTGAGTGCAGCCGGCATATTGCACGTCTGGACCTGGAGCTCGCAGAGTTCAGCGAAAGGGAGGCGAGGCAACGCGCCGAGTTCCGGACGCAACCCTGCCAGGAGCTACTGTGCGGCCGGACCTTCTTCTTGCCGCTTGCGATGAGCCTGCAGCTGCGGCTGGGCGAAAGCACACCCGGCTGGGGCCCTGAGAGGCTGCCCTCTGCCGACATTCTGTGCTACTCTTGGGTCCAAGTAAGGGGATGCTTTAGATGCAATGTAACCTAGTGACCTGGTACTGGATAGGGCCATAGGGATAACCAGGCCATGCTCATTCTGCGCTCCTCTTTCCGGCTCCCTTACACTCCTTGACTTCGCTGCCTCGAGGGAAGCATGCACACGACGTTGTGCATCGCCCCGACCTGAGAGTCCAAGAAGCTCCGACGAAGGAGAAAGGACAGGAGCTTGCTTTCACATGTTCTGTCTGGAATCCTTTAGCACTGGGTCTCTGGGCAAGGCGGATTTCTCTGATGCTCTGGCGCGCGGATTTTTTTGGCCGGCATTGCACGCGAATTTGTGCGCGGATTTTTTTGAGGGAGATAGAATCTTCAGAAAATCAGCGGCAACATCCGCAAGAAATTTCGCAAGCAACTCCGCAACCACCCGGCACGGCCATGGAAAGACATCCGCGAAAAAACTCGTTGTCCAAACAGCCAACCCTAGCATCCTGCATCACGATCGACTACGGTTACGCCGACGGCCCACCCCTCTGCACATCCATGACTGCAGAGCTCCTACCGTCCTGCCAGCCTTCGCCCCGTGAAGATGATACATGCAGCGAAACAACATAGTGACACATTGAAATTCGTCAACTTTGAGACACCCTGCGCCTCGGCCCCTGCCCAGGAGCAAGCATAGCAAGCAAGGAAGCAAGGAAGGAAGCAAGAAAAGCATGCTCCTGCCCCTGCTCCTGCCCCCCCTGCCCGTCCAAGCCTGACAAAGCACATTCAAGCGGCAAAATGTGGCAAGCAGCTCAGCTTCTGCCCTTGTCTGACATAATCGGCCGTGGATAGCTGCAAAAGTGGAACTGCAATCTGCATTAGCAGGTTAAGATTTGCTCAGTCAAGCGGCACAAACCCCGGTGTATCCTCGCATGGCCGTGTGCACCGCATCGTTGGCCAGGCGGACGCAGTAGATGTGGTCGTTCGGAGTGATGGGCACTGATCGAATTATGTACGAAGGGTCAATGTAGAAAGTGCGGCCCCCAGAAGCTTTCCTTTCGAGTCAAAGTCAAGGCAACTTGAGTACCGCTTACGAAGCACAAGTGTGTTGAGGACAGTCGTGCCACAGTATCAGCCTCGAGTGCACGACTGAAATAATGCTACTCGGAGCCGTGGGTTCAAAGTAAATGCAACTTGGAATCAAATGCTTGTTGAGGGTGTCCTTCAGGAATACACCGATGTCGCCATAGACTGTGTGCCCAGTGTCGTCTTGCTTCCCAGTGGATACAAGCTCTTGTCCGGCACCCTCTGCGACTGCAATCACCATGTACTTCTTCTTGGCCAGAGTCGCATCGACATGCTCGATGACATCCTTCATATCCACCTTCACCTCCGGGATCATGCAAAGGTCCACCACATCTGCGGCAGTGGCTGCGTGCATGGCGACGAAGCCAGAATCTCGACCCATGAGCTTGACAATCCCCACACCTGAGGGACGAGGTTTGTGGCTCTCCTTTATAGGGTCAGGCCCAAGACCTCTCGACTCCCTACCGGGGTTCGTCCCCCTTTGTCTGGGCTTGTCTCACCATGTTCTTAAAAGACACGGTAACAGCTGCAATCGTTTGGATTGCAGAATCTGTAGAAACAGTTGCCATTCATGACTAGATGTGCAATATATAGTATACTGAACGACGTACGGCAACAAGAGACAACAAGTACAACAACTACTGCACTCCCTCATTCCATCTCGAGCAACGATTACAATAGACAGACGAAGCATATATACAGACCGATACGGGTCAGTTCTTGAGTTTTCTGCGGTCCGGTCGTACCTCGGTCGCAGCTGCTGGCTTCCACCAAGGCATTCCGGATCACCTCTGATGCCTCAAAGAGCTCGGAGGTTACGACATAGGGATACCTACCTTGCTTTACTAATCTTACATGGGGTCCCTATGCTATGAGACCCTGGACAATCAGGCAGGCGCTCCAAGGCCGATGCCAGCGTTGGGAGCAGCACGCTTGCACTTGGCGTGTTGGCCGAGTCACAATACTTTCGGGATGGGTTTAGGGTTTAGGGTTTAGGGTTTAGGCACGAGGATTCTACTCCCGGAGTTTCTATGGAAAGACAGTGACCGCAAGACGCAGATAGCCTTGGCGACAGCGGTGTCGAATCCGAAGGTCCGGTCAAACAGCACCACATCCTGATGCCAATTGGGACTTGTCCGGTGTTGAAGTTTGATCGTTCCCATTTCTGCGAGGGCTTTTATGGAACTGTTCTGAACTAGGGTTCAAAGCTCTCGGTACTCAGTAGGAGCTTGCAGCAAGCAGCGGCCAGGCAGGGCCAACTAGGCAGACCACAAACAATGCACTGTCTGTCAACAAGTCAAGAAGCATTAGTGCAGCCCGTGGAGATCACCAGGACGCCGATCACTAAGTCACTAAGCGAATGCACTCTCGACCCGGGGAACCCAGGCGAAGCCACGAGGACCAAGTGACTGCCATCAAACTGTGTTGTTCAATTGCTTTTTTGATGAGTAGTAGTAGTAGTAGTAGTAGTACTACTACTACTACTACTACTACTACCGCTACTACTACTACTACTACTACTACTACTGCTGATAACAATAATTGAAAGGCAGTGGTAGTGGCAGTATCACATTGGTCCAGGCATCGTTGTCGATCGACTTCGGAATGCCCACGATGCTCACTGCAAGGCGTCGCTTTCCTCATCGTCTCGTGCTTAAAATGAGCAGGCTGAAATTCGACATGTATAGGGTTTAGGGTTTAGGGTGTAGTCAGAAATGCAGAGTGTCGCACTGGCACTAACCATGCTGGCTCCCAGCAAAGGCTCGAGCTGCCTCGTAGAGCAAGTGCCCTGCAAACTGGGTACCATCCCCGCCCACCAAGAAGAGGACGGTGATGCCTGCAAACTCTGCGCGGCTTTCCATGATCTGAGGAATGTGCAAAGCCTTGCGTTCGACACGACACCGCCAACGTGCCAACGTCGAGTACAACGTCTTCCGATCTCCCGACCGGCCGGCTGTGTCGAAATGAGGAGTCTTAGAGCTTAGGCCTAGGTGATCTAGCTCCAGAGGTATTCCGCGGCTTCTTATGAGCTTGTTGTAAGATTTTGTAACCTTGTGTAAGAGCCACTCAGTGCCATTCATCAACAGTGAGCCGGCGACCCCTGTATCACGCCACGGCACCAAGCCGCTGCAGGTTGTCACAGATCTTCTCGGCGTCGAAGCCACCCCTGGTGACAAGTCTCTAAACCACATTGAGAACTTTGCATGTGGTGCTGGGTCGGAACCCGAAAAGCCGATCATGTCTCGGATGCTTCCTCTTCATGGCATGAAGAGAACTGGTGGAAAGCTCTTACATGACCAGGCCCGAGCTTGACAAGCGGGGGAATTCGGGGCCGGCTTTGCCTCGCGGCTTTGATGATGCTTCCGCCCTTCATGTGGATGTCGCGAACCATCTCCTCTGTGAGCTTCACGGGAGGATGGGTCTCCGGATCACTGAGGCCATTGTAGCCGGCGGTGATCCCCAGAATCTCGCGAACCCCGTACTCCTTGCATTGCGGGTGCCAGGAGCGAACTGAGAAAGAGAGCACTAAACCCAACATCCTTCACCGCTGAACCCCGAAGTCCTACACCTCCGAATCGCCCCTATTAGCCGCCCCACCAGTAAGCCTCCACGCCAAGTCACATTCCACAGGCACTTCGTCACGCCGCGAATGATGGAGTTCAGACCTGGGCAAAGCCCACCGCAAGTGACCACGGCGGCCTTGACCTGATGCTGATCGTCGATTCTAAGCAAAACAGGTGCCACAGATATTAGAACAGATTAGAACAGGGTCCTTCAGAGGATCACTTCTAGATACCTATAAGCCTATAAACTCTAAGTCCCTGAATTTGGTGTGCAGGGCAGGTGGCCTTGTTGGGCTCCCAGAAGAGCTGCCGGGCAGCATTGGCTCCTTGGGCTTCGCTTCGTTCAGGGTGTAAGTTGGAGGAGATAGAATTCAGAGTGGCTTAGAGCTTTCAATTTCCAGTGTGTCCAGCGTGGTCATAACATGTCATAGTACATACCATATTGGTGACTTCTCATCTCCATCGTCGGCTTGGCTGAGTCCCATCTTCCCGTCCCTTCCCACCCTTCAAGGGAAGGCCAAGGCACGCAGGCAACCGGAGCTCAGCAGCGGGTTCGGCTTCTGCGTGTCCGGGTCCGAGTTCTGGATGATGTTGCCCGCGACCTGAGAACTCCCTGAATTTAGGGGTTGGTCTCAAGGAAAGTGCATGTGACTGCATCGCTTGCCCCTTTCTCTTGGGCTCAAGACCATCTCGCTGGAGTTGATGAAGGACATGTCCTCAGTCGCGCAAGAACCACTGGAGGATCTGTAAGACGTGTTTGAACAGGCAGTCGTGGACGTTGCTCGGGAATCCCTTCTCTGAGATGAGGAGCATTGAGTAAGATTGATGTATTTGTTAGTACACAGGACCATAGATGCTCAACCCACACATTGAAGCAACTTCCATAAGAGAACCTGCCCTCACACGGAGATACTTGCAAGTCCAAGGTAGAGCCCGGGTTGCCGGAAAAGCTCGCGCCATGGGGTTAGAGACTTTGTTCACGGCCGGCTCATCCACGGAGCCTTCGGAAGGAGTTTTAAATGCGGGAGGGGCGGGGCCCCTCTGAAAATGAGAGGTGATGTGCTGGGAAATGTCTGGGACCTTAGGTCATGGGTCCAGAATCCGACAGGCCCTCCATTGGGGTTGGCTAGCTGAAAGGCCCCTGAAAGCCAAAGCATGCGACTGGCCTGCCTGGCTCGCCATCCTGCCATGTCGCCAAGTGGCATCTCCTGTGCAAAAACAAACCTACGATGGAAAGGAGCGACTCAGAGTGCCAGGTTGGATCTGCAGATGTCTGAGGCCAGTCTTGATACCTTGAGCTAGCCGGCTTAGAGAACGATCCGTCTGCAGCATTCAAGTGCAGCTGGGCTGCGAGGACAGCACTCTCCAACTCCCTAAACCCTCATCGTCCCGCCTCAGATCGGCTGAGTCGCTGAGCGGTACGGCCATGGCCAGGAGAGCTAGAGGGGAAAGCGCACGGGTATATAGCTGCCTATCAAACGTTTCTGCAGCGCCCTGGAACACACCCCTTGGAAGAGGCAAGGCATAAGAAAGACAAGACAAAGTCAACATAATCCGTGGTGCTTCGCGCCGCTGACCAAGGGCGCGCCTTTTCTTTGGCATCGGAATTACGAGTTCTTCGCCGGAAAGTGGATGTCTTGGGGTTGTCTGCCGGGGGAGCTCCGGCTGCTTGCGAGACTCTCCCGTCTCGCACCAGCATGGAGGCCTCCCGGCATCTCCGGCCCTCAAGACCTTGTCTATGCGGCGTCTCAGCAATTTCTGGCCTATGGTGAAAACGGTTCAAACCCAAAATCAAAAACAGCCAAGTTACATGATATGATTACATGGTAAACTTACCGGCGCATTGGCTTGAATCAAAACGAATGGATTCGCAATGGATTGCCCCTGAGCGCTTGTAATTGTTGCGTCGCAAGTCTCTGTCAAGCTATTTGGTCGGAGTTGTGTGCCAGAGCGTGTTCCTTGGTTGAGAGCAGCTCCAGCCACCTGCTGGGGCCGCAGATTTTGATAGATTGCGGTTTCCACACAGTAGTTTAGCACTTGTGAATGCCAAGCTGTTTAGGGTATGTTACGGTATGTTCCTAGAGCTTGTTGCAACAGTGGCTTTCACGCCGACATCTCGCGTAATTTTCAGCTACGAATTAACAACAGTCAGAGGCTCGAGGAAAGGAAGACAAAAACGATGCAGCTCGCACAGCATACAAGAGGCAGTAGCAGTAATATCGAAAAGCTGCGGCTTCGCTAGAAGACTCTCCCGTCCTAAACAGCAACTGGATAGTGCTCGGAATTGCTGCGGAGAAGCAAACCATTGCCGCCTTCGACGGGTCGGTTCCGGGATCAAGCTCTGTTTAGATTGAGACTGGGATTTGCGTGCATTTCAGCTGTAGCCTGCATGCGAGGACAGCACGATCGTTTTCTGCCCTGCAGCGATAGTCGGAAAATCAATCGATTCTGCACCCTCGCGGGGTGGGCTGTCAGAGAGCTCTGACGATCACATTAGCTGCCAGAGAGGTATGTCACGTCGTCGTACGGATGTCCTTGGCCCAGGCTGACAGATCCCAGAACTAGCTCCGAAAACCGGGAACTTCGTCCGAGCCGAGGCTCTGTAAAGGGGCTGCTTCAGCCGCCTCTGATCCAGGAAATGTCCGACCAGGCCAATGGTCCTGGACCTGACTTAGGGTTTATGAGGGTTTATAGGGGTTAGGACGATAGGGCAGGCGGGTGATGCGCGAGTGGGACGACAAGGCTATTGGACTGACATGAATCAGCAACTGCCGGCTGGCATCCGCGAAGAAATAAAGCCCTAAGAGCATGACAGCACTTCATTGTTGGACGAGGGCACTTTGCGTCAGCCCACTAGTGCATAGCTGCTCTGGATTGTGTTTCGGGGGTTTTCTGGGAGAAGGATCAGCTATTGATCTGAAACAACTTAAGGAAGCGGCGACACGAAGAGTCCGTTCAGAACTCCGTTGGAGACCAGATCATCTGCCTCGCTCCTGTAGAAATGCACGCCATCCACAATGGTGTGCATGGGGCAGGTGTTGCCAAAAAGCGCTCTAGCTGCCTGGCATACTCGAGTCCTCGTGAAGGCACCGCAGCCTCGCAACAAGTCCACAAAGCAAACGGCAATGCAGCCGTCGACGTTGAGGATAAGATTTGCCTCGAAGCTTTCTGCTCCAAAGCAGAATGCTCAGCTAACTGCCGACTGCCGGAGAGTTCTAGAAAAAACAACATGCGAAATGCCGTGTAAAATCCGATCAAACAAACACAGACTCAAACCTAACGTGATGTGATGTATGTATGAATATGTACGTACAAATGTATAAGTGTGTGTAATATTCAACCCTAAACCCTAAACCCTAATGTTTGTATCAAACACTGCCACCTTCTTCCTCGTGGTGATCTGTTCCACCGCCAAGGCGAAATCAAGGAGCGGCGTGGCAGAAAAGTGGGCTTTGGCCTTGAGATGAGGGTTTCACGGTGGGGTTTTGCTGGAAGGGATAAGGGTAACTGTAGAGTTTCGGCTTTGTGAGCTTGCGTACATGGGCTCAGACGCTCGGCTGAGGTTTGCTGACATACAACCCTTCCAGCCTATGCATGTGTGGCCGCCGACGGCCCTATATAACTGCACCTACCAACCTACCAGCTCATGGCTTGTGTGCTTTAGCTGCAGCCGACATTGAGATCAGAAAGCTGAGGCGGGCTCGTACTCCTTGATGAGAACGACTCGCGCGTCCGGGTTGTCTAGCGACTTGACGCGATGGCCGATCCCCATGATCACTGTCTTGTCTTGCTTACCTTTCATGCTGGCGGAGAGGGATCAAGATGACTTGGCATCCTCGCCGCTCTCCCGAGGTGCTCGCAACCTCCTGCCTACCTGCTACCGCCTGCTGAGATTTGAGTGCGATGCTACGATAAGCAGCACGGCTATCAGCGCATGGGGGAACCAGATGACGTCTCATTCCAACAGAGGTACAAGAAGAGACGTCTTGCTCATCACCAAGGCGAGCCACACTTCTCCACAAACTCGGCGGCCGTGAGACCACCGTCCAAGGCAGAGGCAAACATGCGTGCCGCGTCATCAAGGGCACCCCCGAAGCGAGGACCTTGGTTCCAAGGCCACAAAAGACCCGAGCTCTTACAGGGAATGGAATATCCATGCTTTGCTCTGGCCCGCTATGGGCCGGGCCGATGGTCGCCAAACCGGAGATGAGAGAGGACACTAGATCCTTCCCGGCCCGCGCTGCCACGATGGTGTTGTGCCTCTGAGGCCAGTTCTGCCATTTGGCAGAGAAAAGGCGGGCGGGCGGAAAGGAAGCCCATCGCCCATACAAATTGTCTATATCCACCTTTGCTCGGATGTGTCATGGTGCACCTGCTTGGTATTCCCCGAACACACGACTCGAGCGGCTGAGCTTGGGCTGTCCACTTGGCCGGCAAACACAACGTTGCTGTTTCGAGAGCTTGGTCATGCATTGACATAAGTTTCTATCGTCACACTAATCTGAGATAATCTGAGAGGGTCCTTCATCGATTCATCGTCCGAGATGCGCGCCGGACACACACGGGCCATGATCTGCAGTCGCGACCACACCTGCGCTACGTGTCGGTTTGGGGAAAGCGGCCAATGCTTGCGGGCCTGAGACTTTTGGGATGAATCGTGTGGCATGGTCACATCGCTACCATTTCACTGTGACGCCCACACATGGTCACTCAGTCGCGTCGTGCACCGACAGCCCAGGACTATGGCTTCCAGTCACTGCACTGAAGCACCCATCAGCCGGAGCACATAGCTCGATGAACTTGGAGACATAACGTGGCAGTCTTTTCCTGTCCGACAGATCAAGGCATTGCTCCCGGATGCATCAAACCGAGATCACGACTCGAAAAACGATTGACACTTGAATGTGGCATGTCCCCTGTGGTTGATTGGTACCGTAGCTGGGTTGTGCAGAGCGTGCCGGATCCATGTACCGCAAGCCTGAACCACAGCAGCGAAATAGCGCCACCAATGCCGAGTTCCTGGCACCGGTCAGATGCAACCATCATCCCTGCGTGTCTGAACTGATGTGAACAACCATTCACTATATATGCATGTATGTTTGCATGGATGGATGTAAACCATGTGATGTATGTAATGTAATGTAGTGCGACCAAGGCCATGTCGTGCGATGCTATGCTTGTACATGATGTAAAGTAATGCAATGCCGTGTAGTGCATGTGGTGCAGGTATGTAAGCACTGCATGCGTTCATTCATCTTGGCGAAATACCTTCATATCGGTGAGCAAGTCTAATCCGTTTTTGGAGTGTGGTTATTTCCTGAGGCAACAGAAGCGCGCTTCTTCAAGTGGCAGAGATGCACGCGCAATTTCGTGCTCCATGATCATACCCTCAACAAAAACTTGTTGTGCTCGCAAGCCAAAGGGACAGCAAAAGCGAGGGCAAAGAGGGACCGAATTCATCAACAAGTGCTATACTCACACTACTTGATTTGACCCTCCCTTTCTTACCGTGGTCGGAGATGATCAAACTGATCCTACCAAGTTGGGCTTCAATTCGGAACCCGACTGCCCTTCGGCATAGCCCTACAGTGCCTCGTCCTTGGCAATCTCCGAGATGGGCACCTCTCCGTACTCTCGATTACAGGATGCGTGCCCTCTGTTCACAAACCCCATGATGCACGGCAGGTCGTCCGCCAAGAAATATTCGACGACATGCGCTGAACGATACATTGACATGCTGAAACATGTGCGCACCACGGCGGTTTCTTGGCACTGACGCTCGAGAAAATCCTAAGACTGGCGAAAGGGGGTCTCAAGAAACGGCCCACTAAAATCCAGATGCCCCTCGTTCCACGCGGCACCCCGGCATAGGTCGGTTCTGCTCCCCGGTCATCGGAAATGGAGCAGACGAAATTCGCAGGCTTGCGGACCATGCCTGGCATCTCTGGTTCTGTTAAGTTGCAGAGATGAAGAGGTGCACTCAGTCTCAGCGTCCTGATGACATAGACTGTTGGCAGTGCGGGCCTGGCCTAAGCCCCAAAGCTCAAGCCTCAAGCCCGATAGGTGCACAGCAGGGGCCTTTCTTTCGAAGCGACTCGTAGTCGCTTGGAAGCTTCGGCACGGGAGGCTCGCTAGCCACAACGATGCTGCCTGCCTCAGGGGATGTCTACCACGGCAAGCATCGCCCATGTGTATTGTCAAGTCGATGCGCCAGGTTACCACTAGAAAAAGACCTAACCCAGGCTCAATAGAGCGGGCTTTTGACTCAAATACACGATTGCAGTCCATAGGAAGTTGCTCAGATCCCACGCCTTGACCAGAGCCTGATAGACCAAGGCGATCAGGTCACCAAACTCGTCAAAGCTGCGGGGCACGTGAGCTCCCGCCTGCGCGAGAGCCCGGTTTTTGGACCCCGCCGTCTCGTCGGCTGCACGTGCCCGAGCGCCTGCATGGCCGAATTGGACGTCGTAGTCGAAGGCTTCGGCTGCTGTGCCACAGCACCAGGCGACGAGCGGTTTGGTGATGCGTCCGTCTTGGAGGGCTTCTGCTACGAGAAACTCCTCACGTCCGCCTACCTCACCCAGGAGCACCATCATCTTGACGTCAGGATCCGCCTCAAAGCGGAGCAGAACATCCAAAAAACGGAGTCCCGGCCACCTGTCTCCTCCGATGGCGATGCCTTCTCTCACGCCGTCGGTGTTCAGCGCCACAATGTTGTTCAGTTCGTTGGACATACCACCCGACTTGGTCGTGTAGCCTACGGATCCGGGCCGGTACAGTTTGGCCAGCAACAAGTTTTCCACCGCTCCTCCAGCGTTGCCGATGCGGAAGCGCCCGGGCATCATGCCACCTACGGTAGCCGGTCCGATGACGGCGACCCCAACCTTCTCGGCCTCGTAGTGGATCCTGCGTGTCAATGCTTCGGGGACGCCTTCTGCGATGATGGCATGCGTTTTGATGACACTGGCAAACTTCAGTGCGTCCATAGTCGCAGTAAAGACAGACCGGAATGAAGCAAAATTGACGAGCATCTTGGGCGTCTTGCCGTGCTTGTCCACAGCATCTTCCAACGATGTGTATACGGGGATCAAGACATCTGCAGAGCCGAACATGAACTTCTCAAAAGTTGCCTCGCCGGTTGGGTTGACTATGGCCGCCACACTAGGGGTTTTGCGGCCGCAGAGCGTGTCGAAGTCAAGCATTCGCTGCACCGCTTTCGTCTGCATCCCATACACGAAGGCTTGAGTCTCCAAGGTAAACTGCATAAGGCTATTGCTGCCTGGAAGGCTCTGAACAAAGCGCCAGCCTTATAGATCGCCTTAACTAACATAGGCTGTGTAGGAAGATCCACACTATTCCACACTTCTAAATACCATCAAACAAGGTATGACCCCAAAACAAAAACTAAAGATGGCCAGACCTCGTCGTTGCCTCTTCGCAGAGTCGACCTGTCGGATCTTGACGTCCGGAACTGGCATGCTAGCATCTTTGGCCTTCTGCAGGCTTTCGTGTTTAGGGGGGTTGCAGAAAAGGGCTTCGTGGGGTTTAGGGGTGAAGAGCTTCTGGCGGACAAAGTCTATAGGGTTTTATGGGGCCTTTAGGGTTTAGGGATTCATGCGGCTCCAAGGGTTTAGGGCTAAAGTTTAGGGGCCTTCTCCAGAAGTGCATCTCGCACAATTGACGTGAGGTGAGCTTCTGGCCCGTACACATGCGCAGGGATTCCGATGTCCTGCGCAGTCTTTGCAGCACAGACAATCTGTAATGCATGCGTTTACTCTGAACGGGTCCTCGCATGCTTTTCGCATGTTTGTGAGCCCCTCTGAGTAGTTCGGACCACCACGGCGCACCCAAACTGTCCTTGGCATCCCGGAGCTACTGGAAACAATGTGAAATGCTCCAGCCCGTCTTCAAGAATCGCAACGTCGAAACAAGACGATATTGAACAACTACGCCTTCTTTGGGTTTTGCCGAGTTCCCCAAGACAGCTGCGAACTGCATGACAGAATCAGAACCATTCTTGGGACCGTATCTTGACCGGAGTGTCAAGCTTTGGCTTGAGCAGCCGAGCCGGTCGTAACGTGACCCACAAACGCTGACCACATTTCTGGCAGAAGATGCATGTCAACCAGGACCCTGCAGGCCCCAAGCCCCGAATATCCCTGAATCCCAGCCGTCCAGGGGGTCCAAGCTTCGTACCGCAGGCCTTCAGGGCAGATCCGAACTCTTTCAAGGCCTTCACCTCAAGGTTTGGGGCTTTGGGACGTGCGTGGGCATAGGGTCTGGGCCTGGGTTCAGGGTTCCCAGAAATTTGGGTCGTTGGGCTTAAGGTTGGGGCCAGGGTCTTCTTGAGGGCTGCTCAATGTATCGGCCCACACAGCGCAGTAAGCCGTGCCCGGGAGGGGACAAGCCACAACAGAGAACTGCAGGATGCTGCATTACGGAGTTCCGGGCTTTCGTGACTTCCTTCACTTCACTCGGGTAGCACATTGCATGCGCTTCAGGAGCTCCCAAACAGTTCGGGTTCGATGGGTTTCTAGGCAAGCCGCACATGCCAGAGCGAGACTTACGTGTTGGCTGCTCATGTTGTTGCCTTCAGTCCCACCGGCCACCAGTACCCTATGACGTTCCTCGCCACACCACAAGATTATCGAAGCTGCATCACTACATAATGTGGGTATGAAGAACAGCTAACGGCAGAATCAAGGCACTTTCCCCCCAAATCTTCCTCAAAACCCCCAACATCGGATCAATTGCGATGTCAGCCCGACATGGAGCTACGAGTACGAGTAGGTTCTAATTCACGAGGCGTTCTTGCCGGGAGCTGTGTTTGCAAGCCCTACAGATGAGGAGCCCCTAAGCCCAGAAGCAAGAGCTCAGCCATTCCCAGAAGCTCCCTGTCGAGGGCCCGAAGTCCGACGCGTTCCTCGAAGAGCTCTTGCCAGAATGCTGACAAGAAGCCAGGCCCTTGAACGTGCTGGCAACATCAGTAAAATTTGCAACTCCGCCCCCGATCAGCAGGATTTTCCTGAGACTCGCAGCGGCGCGGAAACAGGGAGACCCGGGAGGGAAAGCTCGGAAGTCTAGGGGTGCCAAGCATCCCATGGGGCTCCGGTGAGGATGTCATGACCCCCAAGATCACCTTGGCATACCTCGGAAGGCCATAAAGCGCAGCTCTTTTCCGCCGGACGCTTTTGCTACCGCGAAAAGCAGCCCAGCAGCTCGTAGACAAACTCCTCAGGGGGGTCGCCTGAGTATTCGCCGTAGTTTGCGAGCTCCTTCGCATAGCCGTACTCACAGATGGTGTCTGTGTACACCTTCGCCGAAAAGGAGGGTCAAGACATCCGACATGACTGCACCACTGAATGACACGTCTTCTTAGTGCCCGCCGGGCCACGACGCTAGCACCGCCTCCTGCGATAAGGGTCCAGACACGGCCCTGTCGATTCAGCAAGGTGAACTTCAGGGAAGCTCCTGTTCGAAATGCACACGAATAGCCGAGACCCTTGTCTCCTTGTGCCTGGGCCCTTGGCATGTCCTGTTCTTGCGTCGAGATCATGCACGGCCTTTTCCTGCAACAGCTGCAAGAGGCAAACCCACCAGGCCGCAAATCGCTCGACTTCCCCCCCTTTGCACTCCAGGAAACAGTCGTTAGTCACGAATCATGCCCAAAAGTCCGTCTTGACCTAACCTCCTGAGCAAGGACTGCTATTAAGTTTCAAGACGGGAAAAGCGCGGGAATCGCAGGAGATAACAATCACAAACAGAGTACGGTCGCAGCCTCGCAGGAGACTTCTCACTACCAGAAGCATGTGTTCTGATGTCTTCTTTATGTTTCGGTATTACGGGAACGGCCTGGGTTTGGGATTTGCTTCGGGGCCTCGGGCAGTTCTGGGCGCCCGAAGCCAACCGGGAAGCGGCAGTTGCCCCAGCGCTCGGCACAGAGGTAGCCAGCCTCGGGCAACTGAAAAGGATTTGCAAAGAGGTGAAGGATTCAGGGGATCGATACCTACTTACCTCCCGCTGCAGGAACACCATGCAGCAAGCCACATTGTCTGCGGAAGTAACCTGCGAGTCTTATGATGGTGCCTTTCTACCTCAGCTGAAACATCCACGCAGACCCTGACTATACCCTAAACCCTAACCCTTGACAAAACTCTTCTTGGATCTGGACGGTCTCGTCCAGCTGCAGCGCCGCCCAGGTTATGCAGACCTTATCACCTGGGTCCATAGGGTTTAGGGGTTTTAGGGTTTAGGGTTTAGGCGGCTAAGCTCAGCAGAGGTCAGAGGTTATCGGCTCTCACAGCTGCAGGCTTCTGGACGATTTGAGTCAGAGGGCCAGCGCGGCACAGTCGAATTTCTAGGTCCGTGATGTGCAGCTGGCGGCAGAACCTTGGATGGACGGGCTTGTCCTCACAAAGATATCTCACTGTAAATTCCGTTGCACTGCCGTTGCTTGAAATGGCCCTGCTTGGGCACCTACCGACCCGCCCCTAGACCCGCCACAATTCAAGTGCCTTCCTGACGATTCATGACGCATGAATTGGCAGACACAGAGAACTTCGTCCAGCCCGGAAGCATCACTAGTGCCGCCACCAGGACGTCTTGCGCAGCAAGCGTTTCTGCCTGGCCCTCCTCGTAGAGCGGAACCACAACGGATTTCTGCAGATATGTCACGTTCTCACCCTCCCGGACGCTACTTATCAGCAGGGGCTGCTCGTTGTCTCGCAGAGGGCAGTTGCCATCCTGAACGACAGTCCAGTGCGAGGGCAGGCCCCTGACGCGTCCAACGGCACACTCTTTGCCGGCTTTGTCGGCCAGCCAGGTGCGGATCCCAGCTTCATCCAGATCCTTCCCCACCAGCCCAGCAGCAGTCAAGGCATCCAAGCTTTGGAGATGGTCCGGCAGCACAGTACAGCTGCCAGAGCTCGCGAAGGTCCACCTCGGGTTGTGCTTGATTCCTTCCCCTTCTTCGAGCACACTATGAGTCTTAGAGAATCGGAACAGTACCCAAGCTTTGGAAGAAACAGCTCCCACCTGAAGAGCTCCTCCGGCGCGACAGGGGCAGTCTCGGGCACCCAGGCCACCAGTCTCTCAGAGTTCCTCCGGGCCGAAGCATCGTCCAGGAAGCTTTGCAGATGGCCCCGAAGGAGGCGAAAGGAGTCGTGCAGCGAGACCTCTTCTTCCAAGACATAGCAATAAAGGGCTAGGCTTCTGGGGTGGTTTTGGGGCTCAGGCTTGTTTCTGCCTTTCTGAAGGCTTCCGAATGACCCCTTACTCAAGGTTCTAGCCACAGAATTTGCCACGGGCGCACCTCTCTCACCGCCATGACTATGAAGGCGCACACTGGAGGCACTTATGCTACATGTGGAGATAGGGTTTGTGTCACGCATGTGTGTATATGTATGTTTGTCTGTGCAAGTGTGTGAATATATATATATATACACATATGTATATGTATATGTATGTGTATATATATACGTATATATAGAAGGAAAGAAATATAGAGAGGGAGAGAGAGAGAGAGAGAGAGAGAGAGAGAGAGCTAGCTCCTGTTACTACTTCTAATGGTCCTGCATGCAGTGGACCTACGAGCTGGTCCTGCACTACTATTGCGAGAGAATTGCCTCTCTTGGTGACATTGGAAGTCTAGAATATTTGAATATTTGAGATCACTGCCAGGATGCTTTCCTGCACTGGTTTGAGATGCAAAGCTGCGATTGACTCGGATGCCAACAGAAACACATCCTCAGCCCTTGCTAGCGAAGGTCAAGAGTGGCCGGCAGTTCAGTTGTGCCCCTTTGTTGTTTCACATGTGGAGTTTCACGACATTGCTTGGGACCCTTGAATATTCCCGAATACACGCTGGATAAGGGATGCAGCGGCCCTCAATCAAGGACCGCTGATTTTCAGAAAACATAGGGGGTTCCAAGCGAGACTGTTCTCGTTGTGTGGCGTCTGCAACCCCCAACGTAGAGATGCCGGATTCATAGGCACCTCTGCTTCACATGATTTGAGCTTGGGGTTTTCGTGCAGTGCACTGGGACGACCTGCCATGACTTCAGCTTCCGGCCTGAGCGAACTACCAATCCTTACTGGGCAAATTTTGCATTCTCAACCAAGCGTGGTCTTCTGCAAGTACTCGCCAGACTCGACCAGTTTTCTGGCTGTTGATGCCGCATCCTGCAGGGGCGCATGAGGTCGGCACATAGTTCTTCTGGGGAAGACGGTGGAAAAATTGACAGCGACCATTGATCCGAGAGGCCATGGTCATGAGAATGGCGGTGGTCACAAGTGCTAAGGACAATGATATGTGTAGCAGATTGAACAAGAAAGCATAGCAGAATTCTACCGGCAGTAGTGCCCGAAGAACATCAACACGACAGGCAACAAATGAAAACGAAGTCGAGCATGCGCTCCATATGCAGATGATTGCCAGAAATACCTCTGTGTAAAAACATCCACAAACCCTTGCATAGAGTAGTACCTTGTCATGTTTATTGCGGCCATTACTATTGTCAAGGCCATGTCTACGCATAAGCAAATCGATGCTATACTATGTACCTATATATGTGAATTGCATAAAATATACAATATGTATGCATGCATGCATGCATGCATGCATGTATAGAAAGATGGACAGACAGACCGATACTCACATGCTTAGCAAGTATCCGCCGTCCCTGCCGGCGTCAGAAGCTGTGTTCCACCACTTCGCTTGCCCTCCCGAACCCCCCCTACCCTTCCCGTTGCCGGCGATCGTCGCCTAGCATTTCCATCCCTATGCGACAGTGGGCTTTCGTGTGAAAAGTCACAGTAATTGACTAGCAGTCATAATTTAGTTATGCATGCCCAACCCCTCCGACCCCTCAGACCCCTGCATCCAGTGCCTCCTGTTGTAGTCATGTAATAGTCATTTGATTGTTTAATTGAAGCCCAATGCATGCCCAACCCCTCAGCAAAGGTTTTGACCTGAACCTTCTGCACTTGATGGTCTAATAAGGTATGCTGGTATATATACTTCTGACTTCGGGGTCGGCGGCAAATGGCGGCAGCCAACACATATGTTTGAGAAAATCACGGGAAATATATATTATATGTATAGCTCTGATCACATATTCATACGCTTGTACATTCAAAATCTTACATATTCATATTCGTATATCTACGTGTGTCATTTGTTATTTTATGTGTTTGTTTGACTAGTTGATACTGTTTACTTATATCTATGTACTTGTATACTGAATATTTACATATTCGTATGTTGAAACATATGTTTTCATCATGTCTTATTTCTGCATTTCCATCTGTTCTCTTGTTCTTCCTTGTGACATGTCTATATGTTCGAAGACTCTAACTGCTTTCGGGAAGGCACCCCGGCGATCCTCGGTCTTCAGCTCCCGTAGTTGGCTCTGAAGCCTCTTCTCCTCCTCAATGAGCCACAAGGGTTTGATGTACCTGGGCTCCGGGCTCCTGGGTTGGGAGTTCAGCGTACGTTTAGTTTCAATTCGTACAGGTGGCTTTTTGGATAAGGGTTTGGGTCGTTTTGGCCTGGGGTTTCGTGATGCTGGCTTTTGCAGTGTTGCAGGGTTCAGGCTTGTTGAAAAATGCTCATGTTTGCAGACGCGATGCAGAACGCAAAGCAAAAGCTATCCTCTGAGTGTATCGGGTTCAGGAGTTCGGGGGGTGTTGGAGTTTNNAAACTCCAACACCCCCCGAACTCCTGTTTTAAAATTGGGCTGTTTGGCGAAGTTGAACGCCGATGCTTTTTACACGTACTGAGGAGTCTGCCTGACATGACATCCACGAGCTTTCATCTTCTCCAGGTAGGTCACCTCAAGAAGTGCAGGACTTATGGTCTCACAGTCCAAGGTTTCGAGCCCTAGGCCCTGATTCGGAACCTTTCGGAATCCTCCCCAGATGGTGGCTTCGGCCGAACCAGGCGCGACTTATGAGAGCCACGACATTCCGAAGAAGGCCATGTCACAACTGCCGTACCTATCGTACCTCTACATAATGTTCAGGTTTGAAAGGAAAAACAGGTCGTTGTGCGTGTCACAGCCACTGAGAAGACTGCCATTTTCAGTGTCGGGCGCGCGGTTCTGGGCAGCACCTGCTAAGCGAGCGATGCCCGAGTGAACAAGCGGCAGCACCAACCCCTCAAAGCATCGAACAGCTTTGGAAGGGCACCTCGAACTTCCACGGCTTGATGTGTGCACGTAGGGCTACACGCTCCTCAACGCAAGGCGGCACAAAAGCAGTCACGCTAAACCGTCAATTTTCATCCAAGCGTTCATTCCGCTACGCTTTGGAAACGGTGAGCACAGCCTGAACGTGCTACCCATTCCGAGGCGCATGCCATGTAGACGATCGTCACGCTGCCTCCCACTGCTTTTATGGCATCAATGGAGCTCTGATCCGCCCCGGCAACCTGCATCGACGGAACGCAAGAGGTCTGCTCGCTCTTGACATTGACGTCTGCTGTCCGAATGAAAATTTCGTCTTCCGCAGACCCTGCTACACATCCATGACTGCACAGTCTTTCGCACACAGGTCCTTGTAGCCTTCATCCCCTGAAGATGATACATGCAGCGAAACATAATAGTGAAACATTGAAAAATCAACTCTGAGATGCGTCTTTCTCCATGAGCAGCCACTTAATTTTCCTGGGAGTGTGCGCGGATGGGTCAAACTCGATACGCCGGTGTCGTATGTTGCGAAAGCTGCTTTGCGATAGCATTTGATGGCAGCTTCGTTGGTTTCCAACACCCCAAGTTTGACCTTCGAGTGCCTGGAGCCCTTCTTCCTGGCGTTGACTTCTGCAGCTTGGAGCAGCAGTCCACCTAAGCCTTTACCTTGGTGCGATCGATCCACTTTGCAGTGGCCCCTCTTCAACTCGTCATGGGAAGCGGAGGCATACACGTATCCCGCAACGGTGTTGGTGCTCCCAGACACCGCAGCCAACATAAACCGAGAGGCACCTTTGCCACTGGCCAGGTTTTCAATGGCTCTCACCCGGTCCAAAATGGACGCGTCCTCCAGCTATAATTTGCCATACCAGGGATGTGCCGTGTGCAGGTGAGCATGGTCCATGGTCCACTGTAAATCCCTCTCAGAACGTCGCAAGCGCTTTGCGCAATTATGCACAAAGGCACAGGCAAAGTATTCGTCGTTTTGCACGCCAATGTTGTCACTACGCTTTCCTGTAATGGGCTCGTCCTCGTCCTCTCCCTCCTCCTCCTCCTCGCCCATCCGGGCACGAATCGTCTGGGGAGTCAGGCGCTTTCCTTTTCGCGTGGTGTTGAGAATCTCGGGCTGGGAGTCGCAGAACATGGAGCATGGGCAAAGAACTTCTGTCGAAATCACATCAAGAGATGCTCCGCGCTCGATAAGCATGCGAGTGCCATCCTTGTGTCCATTTCTAATTGCATAGAATATCGCTGTCTCGTTGATATCATTCGGAAAGTTCACTTCGAACCCCAAATCCGGTACATCCTCACGATCGTACACAGATGATCGCTAACTGCTCGGACCCCGACGGGTTCGGGCTGCTGCAAAGAAGAGCAACTTCTGGTCCAGGGAGGAGTGTCGCCAATCTACGCTGGCACCCTCTAAGGCCTTCTAAGCCTCCGAGAACTCGCCATCTCTCGCTTTGAAAAACACTATATCTCGATTCACGGGCTTCATGTCCAATTTGTACCTGTCTTGAGCCGAGCTTCGCTTGTACCTTGCCTTGACCTTCTGAAGCATCTCCCTTCCAAATCAAACCGTCCAAGCCTGACTGTGAAACTTTGAGAAGGCATGTTCAAGTCATTTCCAGTGCTCGCCGGTCACATGCTGACTCTGAGGGCTGCTAGGAAGCCAAACCGTACCACAGGTCAGTCACAATCCCCACAACTGTTACACCCCTATGGTCCCGTTCGGCTGCAACGCATGTGCAGGCCTCAATGTCGATTTTGTACGGGAATGGAAAGTCGTTGGTCTCAGCAGCTGGTAACATTCAGGTTCAGGGTACCAATTGATCTCGTAGATCCCTCAATCTGCCAAGCAGGGGCTGGGGCATTGAAGAGACCGACGCCCATTTTGATTTTCTTCACGCACCTGCCATCACCAAGACAGGCATCGAAAAAACAATACCATTTACTACCAATTTGCGAACACAGTTAATTACAGCCATGCCGTCAGAATAGTCCAAGGGCCACAGTGCCTTGATTCGAAGAGGTGCCGCTGCGTGATGGGAAAGCGCGTGTCCTGGAGCAACTTCGGCGCGAGTGTAGCGTGAGGCCAACAGCACTGTCAGGTTTTCAACAAGCTCATGTATAGAATACATGCACGATCAGAGACAGACACATAGCCAAAGAGAAAAGAGACATACAAACAGATCGACCGGCCGACCGACCGGCGTGCATGCATGCATGCAGGATTCAGTCACTTCGTGATTCGAGCATGTCCGGGACGAAGCTGCAATCGCAAATTGTGGACAGTCCAGGCGGCCCTTCTGGATGAAGTAGCGCCTGGGCGGCATCAGGAGGTCGAGGTGATCAGATAGAACAAGCGGGGTTCGTTCCGCTGCCGGGTCAGGTCTCAGGATTGATGCTTTGCTTCAACAGACCCATATTCAACTCAAGAACGCCTGTATAGCATAGCCCTACTGCAATGAGAGTAACGACAAGAAAGCAAGGGTTACAGTCTACGGTACTCGCCACGACACAAGCATCATCCTTGCGGCAATACCACCACCGCTGCTACTGCTGCTGTTGCACCTGCTGCTACCACCAATACTACCGACCAGGACGACTACTACTTACTACGGCTCTTCTACTATGCAAAACGCTTTCCGTTTGGTGCCACAAGGAGACACAAATTGCGATCCACAGCACACCCTGAGCCGTCAAAATATTTGCCCGCAATCTTCCCAAACGTCGAAATGACTCTTCAAGACATTCATGATACGGATAGACATCAAAAGCATGCTTGCAAGCCGCGTCGGCTACTACTACGCCGGATGTCAAATTGAGGACGCATTCGCTTGAACAACCAAGAACGAAACTTACACGGATCTCGATGTTTGTGATCGCCTGTCCAACCTGTGCTCCCGAAGAGAATGTCATGGACCATGCCGTTCGTCGTCGTCGTCGTCGTAGTGGTAGTAGTAGTCGTCGTCGTCGTCGTGGTGGTAGTAGTAGTCGTCGTCGTCGTCGTAGTAGTAGTAGTAGTTGTTGTTGTTGTTGTTGTCGTTGTAGCTGTAGCTGTAGCGGTAGCTGTTGTTGTTGTTGTTGTCGTCGTCGTTGACGTTGTCGGTGTGGTGGTTGTTGTTGTTGTTGTTGTTGATGTTGTTGTTGTTGATGTTGTTGCTGTTGTTGTTTGTTTGGTTGGTTGGTTGGTTGGTTGGTTGGTTTGTTTGGTTTGTTTGTTGGGTTTGCTTGTTGGGTTTGCTTGTTTGATTTGTTGTTGGTGTTGTTGGTGTTGTTGGTGTTATTGGTGGTGTTGGTGTTGGTTTTGGTGTTGGTGTTGGTGT